TAGGCAGGGTGTGGTAGCACACACCTTTAGTCCCAGCATTTGGGGGACAGAGGCAGGTAGATCTCTGTGAGATCAGGGCCAGCCTAGTGCACATAGTTCATTCCAGACCAGCTGGGGCTACAGAGGAAAATTTTAAAAAAAATTTTTTTAACTGATCCTGTAATCGCAACACTTGGGAGGTAGGTGGGGGGAATCAAGAGTTCAAGGCCATCCTTGACTACTTGAGACCTTGTCTCAAAGAAAAGTAAATTCTTAAGAGGCAGTGTTGACTTTTAGGGAGAGTAAGTTGTATAAAAAGAAGAATCAGAATTGGGCTTGGAAAATTATTTTCACTACCATTAGCGATGTGCCATAGAACTAGTTGCACAGCCTCATTTTAATACCTTGCTTCTCTTACCTCACTTTGTAAAACACTGCCAAGGTGGTCTTAAGTAGAACACAGCTTGTTTCAAATGGATCCTGTCTTAAATATATGCTGAGGGTGTAATTGAATAGATACTATCTTATATTTTGTTGTGGGACTGAGAGTGCAGCTCAGTGGAGAACAGTTGTCTCGGGTAGGCAAAGCTCTGAGTTGATCCCAGCATTGCAAAATAAATAAAAATAAGTGAATAGTATACGCTGTATTCTCAGCTAAGGGACTCAGATATACAGTACTCTTAAGTTTCGGCATCTCCGCAAAAGGTAGTTATAGGTAGAAAGATGCCATGAAGTGATTCCGCCAGGAATTATTACTATTTGCATCAAGCTCTGTCCAAGACTATGCTATTAACAACTGTTAAGCTGCCTGTTTGAAAGAACCGTGTATTAATTATGTAATTTTAACCTTTCACACCAACTTAGAAGAATGTCATTAGATCGTAAACTGAATAGTCATACTCTTCCATTAAGATATCCTTATTAGCCAGATGATGTGGTGCATTTCTGCTGTTCCAGCACTTTGAAAGCTGAGGCATAGGATCTTCTTGTAAGTGTAAGGCCAGTTGGGTTATGTAGTAAGACCCTATCTAAAAAAAGAAGAAAAGGAAGTTATTAATGTGTATTATAAAGTATTTGTGTGAATTAATTACCTATGGGGGTTGAGAGAAGTAGGTTATTAGGAGAATACAGTGACAATTGTCCATAAACCTAGCTGCTAAGGAGACTGAAACAGCTGGTTTCTGAGCTCAAAGCCAACCTGGCCTATATATTCAACACCCCCATCTGAAGAGAAGAGAAAAGTAGGCCATCATCAAATGATAAAATCAAAAAAGAGAATTGTGCTTTATTTTCTTGAGACATTATAATTGCCTATAGACCATAAATGCTCCTAGTGATTTAATGAGTAGATAACATATAGTTGAAAGTTTTCTTCAGTCTTCTTGACCACTGCTTAGCAAAGTAATACATCTAAAGCAATACATGTTCATTAAAGCAAAATCAGAAAACAAATACAAAGTAATAATAAAGTAAGACACCTGAAGTCCTGCTTAGTTCAGAATGACTGCTTTTATTTATTTGGCGGGGGGGATGTTTTTTGTTTTTTTTGTTTTGAGACAGGGTCTCCCTCTAACCCCATCTGACCTGGAATTCAACTGAGATCCTCTGCCTCCCAGAGCCAGGGTTGCTTCCAAACCCTGTTCTTTGTGTGCACTTTACATTTGTGTGCTTACATATAAATTTTAGTGAGCACACTATTCTAAAGGTGCTGTTTGCCTACAGTTGTAAACATACATGCAAACCAGGTTTTTGGGCTTGAGTTTTCTGAAATCCAAGTTCCCTTACTGTTTAAAAGTGCCTGGTTGTAGACCAGTAAAATAGCAGGTGCTCTGCTGCCAAACCTAACAAGCTGAGTTAGATCCCAGGGACTCGTGGTGGAAGTGGGGAGCTCTGGCCTCCACACATGTGCCCATGGCACACACAAGAAGCAGATAAAGTTTTTGAAAGTAGCTGTGAGGCTCCATGAAATAAAGATTTTAAAGCATAAGTTTTTGTTGTTGTTGTTGTTGTT